CTTGTATTTGTCTATTGATCCATTCGCTTTCAATTTTCTTCTGAAAATCCACTTGTACCCAAGAGGCTTACAACATGATGGCAAGTCCACTAATTCCCAAGTGTGATTTTGCAAGATGGATTCAACTTCACTATTGACAGCTTCTTTCCATAAAGGAGCTTCAGGACTGGACATTGCATCTTTAGAAGTTAAAGGCTCATTTTCTAACAAATATGTTAGAAAATCTGGACCAAAAGATTTTGAGGTTCTAGCACGTTTACTACGCCTAAGTTCCTCTTCCTCATTTTGATCTAACTCTTGTTCTTGATCAAGTTCTTGATTCTGACTAGTAATAGCATCAAAAGATCTTTTATTAGTACTAGTCTCTTGTCCAGTCTTCTTTGGAAATACATGTTCAAAGAATGATGCATTCCGAGACTCAATAATAGTATTTACATGCATTTCGGTATGTTCTGATTTATGAATCAAAAATCGATATGCACTACTCTTCTTAGCATAACCAATGAAAATGCAATCAATAGTCTTAGAACCTATCTTAGTCTTTTTAGGACTAGGAATAGGCACTTTAGCCAAACACCCCCACACTTTTAAGTATTTATAGGATGGTACTCTTCCATGCCACAATTCATAAAGTGTTTGATTCACTTTCTTTCGGGGTACTTTGTTAAGTATATAGTTAGTAGAAAGTATTGCTTCCCCCCACAAATTCTGAGGTAATCCAGAACTGATTAACATGGCATTCATCATTTCTTTTAAAGTCCTATTTTTCCTTTCAGCAATTCCATTTTGCTGAGGTGAGTAAGGAGCGGTGGTTTGATGAATTATTCCATGTTCTTTACAAAACTCACCAAAAGGTGATTCATATTCACCACCTCTATCACTTCTAAGTTTCTTGATTTTCTTACCAAGTTGATTTTCAACTTCATTCTTATATTGAATGAAAGTTTCCAAAGCTTCATCCTTGGTTCGAATTAAATAAATATAACTATATCTAGTATAGTCATCTATAAAAGTGATTACATACTTTTTTCCACCTCTGGTTTGAATTGATTTAAAATCACAAATGTCACTATGAATTAATTCAAATGGTTCCGTACTTTTTTCAATTGAATGAAAAGGAGTTTTAGATAATTTTGCCTCAACACAAATTTCACATTTATGATTTGAATCAATGTTAAATTTAGGTAAACATTCCATATTAATTAATCTACGCAAAGATCCATAATTAACATGTCCTAGTCTACCATGCCATAAATTTGAAGACTCAAGCAAGTAAGAAGAAGATGTATTATTAATAACTGAGGGTACAACGGTCATTACATTTAATTTGAAAAGGCCATCAGACTGTAACCTTTTCCTACATACATCCCGTTTTTGGTAAGTACAAACTTGTCACTTTAAAAAACTAGCCTAAACTCATTCTTACTCAACAAAGATCCAAAAACAAGATTCTTGCGAATGTCCGGTACAGGCAGCACATTGTTGAGAGTGAGTTCCTTTCCAGATGTCATCTTGAGTACAATCTTTCCTTGTCCTTCAACTTTGGAAGTTGAGGAGTTGCCCATAAAAAGTTGTTCACCATTGTCCATTGAAGAATAAGATGTGAACATCTTTTTGTCGGCACAAATATGACGAGTAGCACCAGTGTCCACCCACCATTCTTTAGGATTTTTGACAAGATTTGCCTCGAAAATCACTGCAGAAAGATTGATGTCATCGACACCATTGGAAATATTGTCCACTTCAGTCATGTGGGCTTGAGCAGGCTTCTTGCTTGTTCTTCTTTTGTTTTTGCCTTTGCTACGGCAATCTTTGGCCCGATGTCCCTCTTTGTCACAGATGTAACATTTGCCATTAAACTTGTACTTTTTATTTCCCCCCCTTTAGAGCCTTGTGATGAACTTTCTCTAGAAGACTTTCGTTTCTTGATTTTTGAAGCATGTTCCACCACATTTGCCTTAAACTCCATAGGAAGCTTACCAGCCTGCTTTTCAGAATTGTGGTTGTCCTCCTCAATCCTCAAACGCACAATTAACTCATCCATAGAAATTTCTTTGCGCTTGTGTTTGAGGTAGTTCTTGAATTCCTTCCAGCCTTTTGGTAATTTTTCAATTAAGACTGCAACTTGAAAGGATTCACTGAGAGACATACCTTCTGCATGAATGTCATGCAGAATGAGTTGGAAATCTTGAGCTTGGCTGATCACAGTTTTTGAATCAACCATTACAAAATCCAAGAATCTGCCAACCACAAATTTCTTTGAGTCGGCATCTTCTGTTTTGTACTTTTTCTCCAACGATTCCCAAAGTTCCTTTGCTATCTTGATTGGACTGTAGACATTGTATAATGTGTTCTCAAGTCCGTTCAAGACGTAATTCCGGCAAAGGAAATCGGCATGTTTCCAGACATCAACCGCAGCAACCACTTGCCGGTCGGTTTCATCCTCTTTCAGGATAGGAGCATCTTCACGGTGGAAACGAACGAGGTTCAGAGTTGTAAGATAGAACAACATTTTCTGTTGCCATCTTTTAAAGTCAGTTCCTAAGAACTTCTCTGACTTTTCACTATGATTTACCGGTACTGTTACAACAGGAGAGGGGGTTGGCGTCATTGAAGCCACCACAGTAGTACTTGTTTGGGCATTAGTTTCAGTAGCCATCAATTCTAATATATAAAACAAAATTATAATTAGAATTTACACTACACAGAAAATTAAACCAAATTCACAGAATTAAATTCTGTAAAAAATAAAAGAAACAAGAATGTAACTTTTATTTTCTAATTAATTTGAAAATAAAATAAAATTTTATTTAAACAAATTAATTCCACACAGAAAATTAAATTCTGTAAATTAAAAGAAATAAAACTATAACTTTTATTTTTCAATTAATTTGGAAATAAAATAAAATTTTATTTAACCAAATTAATTCCACACAGAAAATTAATTTCAGTAACACTTCAATAATTAAAATACTGAAAACAGAATTTTAATTAATGAAAACTCAGAAAATAATTTCTAAAACCCAAAATTAATTTCTGAAAAAATTCCACAAAAATATATTCTGAATTGTTAATGACACCAGTATCGTACTACTAGTTGTTGTCAAAGAAAAGCGACAGTATATCACTACTATCTGTCAAATAGCATATAATCACTATTTGTTTTTCCAACCAGAATATTATTTTGTAAATCCACAAAGAATAATTTTCTTCTGAAATTATTTACGAAGAATGAAAAAGGAAAACAAACGAAAAATTCTGTAAACAGAATAATTCGAATCTGTCTTAAGATTGTCGGAACAATCTTCTGTGTAAATAAAATAACTTGAAATAATTCAAACAAAATAAATAAATAATATACCGAATTTATTTTGTTGAACCGAATAAATAACTTAAGACCAAGTCGAGTGTGAGACACTATGTCCTTAAGACAGATTCGCCCCGCTATGGTGCTTACGGTTAAGTGGCGTCTATCTCCCAGGATACAATGATCTTCACAAATTAATAGAAGCACTTCAAATAAATTTGTTCGGCGAACCAAACCTGTGATCTATACTTTCTTTTAATTTATTCTAAAACTAGATATGAAGAATAAATGTACTAGAGAAAAATTGGACAACAATAAGACAAATATCAGACTATTTTTCAGACTGCAAAATCAGATATACGGACTGATTTTTTCGGATACAATGGACTGCTGAAAAAGATTGTATATATAGGCAAACAAAGTCCCTGAACAGGTGCAACAAATTTAAATGAACGGATGCACTATCTAAAAGAACAGGTGCACAAGTTGTGTTCAAATAAATCTGATGGTTGTACCAAAATTTCAAAAAAGTGTCCGTTGGTCAAACGCAACGCAAGAACAGTTTTGGAACTTTATTTAATAACTATTAGAAATATATATATATATATATATATATATATATATAAAACTAATGGAAAACAATTATTAAACTATTTTGAATAGTTTAATCATTTTTTAAGAAATCACAATTTGAATTTAGAATTAAATTAAATTCTCACAATTACAAATTTTAGAAAACCACTCAAGAATCCAAAATTTCAATTTGGAATTAAATTAAATTCCCACAATAATTTTTATTGAAAAAATTCAAATGAATTTTATCTAAAAAATTAATGTTAGATCCGAAAACGACGTTAACTTCCCATTCACTCATAAATGGTTTTGACGTTCCGTCTTCACCGTGTGACTTGCCACGCGGCAAGGAACACGTCACCTCTTCGGACTCACCCCAAAGACGTTTGGGACCCACTCAAATTGAGCTAAAAAATATGCCTATATTAAACCATTTTTCCAACAGAATGTTGGAGGCAGATACTTAGAGCACTAGCTCCATATGTTACTTTTTCCGTTTATGTCTGTTTTGTTGGGGATGAAATGTAGAGTGAAAATATATATTTAACTGTTGCAGATTTTCATTAAATGAAAGGCGTAATTACAGATATGGAAAATACTCAACACTTTGCTGTTGCTTCAATTTTTTGCTTTTTGCAGAAAATATTCATGTGTGTCAAACTCATTGTTAATCGAATGAGCTAAAATTTAAATTCGAATTCATAATTCACGGCAATATATAAAGATTTTAAAAATTAAAAAAAAAATCCTCAAAAGTATAAAAATTTGTTGTTAAAAACATTTAGGAATCAATTCTTGTCATCGTTAAGGTCGTCATTAAACGGTCATTCTAAATAGTTAAAAAAGACAAAAAAAAATTAGCAAAAAAATTTAAAAATGTCGTTAAATACACTTTTACGACAAAACAACTTGGTGCCAGAATAATTTACATTTTGAGATAAATTTTGATCCCAAAAGGATAGTAATTAATTATTAAATATCTAATTTTATGTCTAAAAAAAATAATGTTAATTTAGCAACTATAATATTTCGTTATTAAAAAAGTGCTTTTATTCCTAAATTTTATCTCTACAACCTCTGTTTATTATAGTGATTGGGTGAGTATCGAACTGTATGTTACCTTCAAGAAGATTGCATCCGTAGTCGGAATGTTACTAAACATGTCACCCCCAATGTGGATAACCCAAGGGCATGGTGGTGCAGTGGCAACAATGTGTGGCAAATCAAAGTTGGTTCCTTTGATATGCGGGTATGCTTTCACAATCTCAACAATGGAAGCCCCAGTGCCACCACCAACATCGACTAGAGATCCAATGCAATCAAACCCATGTTTATATTCAGATATCAAAGCCTTGATCGTGATCCTAGCAGTACATTCCATGCCATCATTAAAGACCTTGTTGAGCTCAGAATCGACCAATGCAAAGTCCCACAACTCACGCCCATGGGCCATGTGGGATGCATTACCACCCTCTTGTATAGATCTAGAGAGGAATTTATATAGTGCGATGGTATTGCAATAAGCAAAGAAAAGGGGCCAGGCTTAGTTGTTGTGGGTCACGTAAAAGCCATTTGGAGCAGTGGTTGAGGCTGTAGAGAGTCTCTGCTTTTGAATTCGAATCTGATTGGGGATTTGTGGTGTCGAAGAGTTTTTTGTGGACTAAGAATCTCATGAGGCGGGAGAGGTGAGTGATGTCTAGGGATGGTGAGGAGGCAACATCGTTGGCAATTTGGGATAACATGATGAGGTAGTTGCGTGCTTGGATGATGTTTGCTATACCAGCATCCAAAGCACACTTCTAAGCAATTGAGTCCACAAAATGATATATGAATTGCCAGATTTCTGCTTGGCCTCGTAACATGGCTTCTGCTTCATCCGTCATTCTCTCTCCGCCTCTGTGTGTGTGTAGAGTTCACTGATATTAGAATTAGAGTTGGAGATATTTAAGGTAACATACTTTCTTATATTTTAAGGTAATGTGTTTGAGTTGGAGATATTAGACTCAATTTTTAATATGGAAAATTATGTAAATAGTCCTTATATTTTACACGATGTGTCAATTTGGTTCCTGTAGTTTCAATTTGCTCGATTTTATCTCTTAATTTAACGGATTTTGTCATTTTAGTCCAATAAATAACAGTTGTTAAGTTAATTTAACGGAAACTCAAACAATGTGTCAATTTGGTCTCTGTATTTTCCACAATGTGTCAATTTAGTCCCTGTCAAAATCGAGAAAATTAAAACTACAATATAGCGATCCCGGTTTTACTCCGACCTTTATTGTGTTCCGATCTCAGGTTCCGTGAGTGTATATTGTTGTCTATGTCTTGTTTCCTTTCTTTAATTCTTTGAATTTGAGTTTCGGGACTTGTTGGGCGAGTTTAGAACAGATTGGTTGTCTTTTGGTACAAATGGTTGCTGCCCAGATTTTAGTTTCTTCGCTCGAGCGAGGCTTATTGCGCTCGAGCGTGCGTCTGCGTTGGGTGGCAGACCTGAAGCTTCACATTCTACGCTCGAGCGAGGCGACCTTTTTGTATCTGGTCGCTCGAGCGAGCCTGTTCATATCAGATCGTGAATAAGGCATTTTAGGTCATTTTTGCAGCACACAATCTCTTCAAAACTCTCCAAAAACGGAGGTGTTCTTACTCTTTCTCTAGAATACACCTTCTCTCTAAGATTCCATCTAGATCCGTTGTGTTCTTCACCTTACTGTCTTTAAGAATAAGGTAGAGGACTTCAAGAGCTTCGTTTTGATCCAAGAAATAATTGGTTTCGCCATCTTTGAAGTTCCACCTTGTTGCTTGGGTTTTCTACACTTGAGGTAGGGAATTTCTACACTTTAATATGGTTTTTAGCTTAGTTATTTGCTATTGAGTATAGATAAGGAGATTTGGTTGTGGTTTGGACAAATCTAGAATTTGGGTGTGAAATAAAAAGAAGGGTTTTTGATGAAATTGGCATAAGTGCGTTTGAGGTTTGAATACAAGGATATGTTGTGCCAAAATAGTTGATTTTAGTGTTTGGGTTGATAATTTGGAAAGAGGGAGATTTTGCCCTAATTTTGATTAAATTATTATTTTGTATAAATAATTGGAATTAACATTGAAAATGTGAAATTGGAAGGTTGTGGTTATGATTGGTGATATTGGATATGTATTATCTCACCTATGTAAGTTTTTGAATAAAATACTTATTTCGAGATTGAACATCTCTTTAGAAATAATTGTATTGGGCTATCAGTGAAGGATAGTCATGATTGTTGTAGAAATTGCATGAGGATTAGATGATTTAATACTAGTCCATTTTTGGTGTCATTGAATATGGCCATGTTATAAATACATTGTATATGTATGTTTATTGGGAGGAGAAAGTGGATGTACTCCATATATGATTTTGTTTATGTATACATTGCATATGTATATTTGTTTGGGAGGAGAAAATGGATGGACTCCATTTAAATCAAGTTAGCCAGAGTGTCCTGGGTGAAAAACCCGAAATTTCATATATAAATGGGTGCCGATTCCTTCGGACAAAATATTCGTAAAATGGCAAGTTTGAAGTGTTTATGTGTGTTTTGCATAGTTGGAAAACCATTGAGTTGTAGTCTCATTTTGGTTGTTGAAAGATAATGAATTTAACTCATGAATTGAGTAGCTTATATGAACAGGAAATGAATTGAAGGAAAATAGAATGAGGTTAGGTCTTAATGGCATATGAATATGCAAGCCTTGTGGATGTTGTAGTATCGGTATTGTTTGTGCACGTGGTATTTATATCTTTGCTAAACCTCATATATTGTGTTAGATTATCTCTACTGGGTTGTTGGCTCACCCTATACGGGAATATCATTTTCAGGTGCAGGTGAAATGTTTCCTCCAAGGCAATAGCGTGGATGGACTTTCGGGAAGCAAGAGCTTCTTAATTATGTCTTATATGTGTATGTTTTTTATTTGTAAAGCCAATGGTTTAAGATGCAATGAGCAAGACTCAATTTGTGTAACCAAGCAATGTCTTGGAAAGATGTAAGCCTACATGGCATTTAACTGGTTGTTAAACAGTGAACTCTGATGTATGAAAGTATGTTATTTCTCATATTTATTTTGCATATGAGTTATCTTTATTGTATTATTTTGGGGCGTTATATACAGGAACCAAATTGACACATCATGTAAAGTACAGGGATCAAATTGACACACTATTTGACCTTATGTTAAATTAATTTAACAACTGTTATTTATTGGACTAAAATGACACAATCCGTTAAATTAAGGGGAAAATCAAGCAAATTGAAACTACATGGATTATTTGCATAATTTACCGTTTTAAAATTATTGATATGACAATCAATTAAGATATTTAAGGTAACATACTCTCACATATCTTTTAATCATCAATCAATTATATCAATTACACATTATTAAATTTACAAAATAAATTTGTATATCATTTTCTTTATAAAATTTGTTTGTGTGGGTTTTGGTGAAGGAAAGCAACATTGGGTGATGGTGCCAAGAAATTTTAAAACCCGTTAATCTATTCACAAATTTGATTCACTTTCAATTTATGAAAATTTCAATCATAAAAGACTTATATCAAGTGGGATTTGATACAGTCTAATTAGATTTTGTATATTTAAAAAAATTTAAAATTATTTTGCTTATGGCTTCGTTTGAGAAGTTAGTTTGAACTAATTTAACTCACTAAAAAATAAAATAGACTAAAAAGTAGATAAAACAAAATGTCACATCTAAATTATAATCATTTCGCTTTTTTTTTCTCACAAAATTACAAGAAAAAAAAAATCAAAAGTTCTTTCCAAACGGAACTTTTTGAGTCATGTTAAAATAGTTAAAAAGTCAAAAAATCAAACTAAAAAAGTTCTTAATTGTTATTCTTGCTATTGTTGGCGGGTTTGTACAGTGTAGCAGTAAAAATCAAAATTTATTATTTTGTGAAACTATGTGCCAAATTTGACACAATGTTTGGTAATGTTATAATTCGTTGGGGGGAGTAGTAAAGAGTAGTAGGAAAAATCAAAGTTTGTTATTTTGCCAAACCGTGTGTTAAATTTGGCACAAAAGTAAGTAATGTTATAATTCGTTGGAAGGTGGTACACAATCGCAAGAAAAATCAAAATTTATTATTTTGCCATATCATATGCCAAATTTAACACAAAGTTTGACAATGCTATAATTTGGCAACTATTTTGGCATGCCATTGGAGCTTTTTGTTAGGTTCAAATTGTTGTAAAATAGCAATAGCAACCATCATAGTAACGCCATCACTGTTGCTCTTAACATGACATGTGAACTTCTATCCTTAAACCATGTGAACTGGTGTTTTCTTCCCATGTTTTGATGAGGCAGAAAAATTCACATTTTATTGGCATGTGAACATTCCCTCGTCTGTTCTCAATCATTCTTGCCACATTGACAGGAAAATTTGGGAACCTACAAGAGCAAAGTTCATGGAAAAAATTTTTAAAAGCATATTTCATCTATAATTTGATTAAGGGCACCGTTTCATTTATTTATTATTTTTATTTTTTAAAGATTGAGATAAAGCAATCCCTTTTTATGTTTTTCTTCAGGGTTTAGACTAAATTCCTAATTTATTATAATAAACCTCATCGTTTTGCATCTTGAATTAAATCTCTAATTTATTGAAATAAGAAGTTGAACCGTATACGTTTTGTATTTTTGTTTAGAGATAATAGTTGAAAAGTCCAATCTAAGTCGGGTATACCATTAGGTCCAGTGAATATTTTTTTTGTTTGTGAGTGGTCCACTCTTTTCAAAATAGTTTGTTGAGATGTCTTTTTTTTTTTTTTTTTTTCGTTTTTAAAGTACATTTTATTTCCAATTTTATCCATTAATTTATCTGTTGACTTTTTTTATCGGTTGATTTTCGTTAACTATCTATTCAAATTATTTTCCTATCTGTTCAAAATTTTTCCTTATCTGTTCAATTTTTTCCCTATCTATTCAATTTTTTTTTTTATCTTATTTGTTTAATTTTTTAATATTTTCAATTCATATTTCCTTTATTTGTTTAAATATTTGTCCAGATAAATACACAAAAATTTCATATCTATTGAAATTCTCATTTTTAATTTGTATGTTCGAATTCTCATTTTTAACTTATCTTTTCAATCTCTTTTTGAACAAATCATATTATCTATTCAATTTTTTCACTTATCTGATCAAATATTTTTATCTATTTAAATTTTTTTATCTATTCAATTGAACATGTTCAAATCCTATTATCTATTTATCTGCAATTTTTGAACAGATCTGTTTATCTAACATTTTTTTTAAAAAAATTTTGTTGCAATATATTTCTTCATCATCATCATCATCAACAACAACAACAACAACAATAAATAAATAAATCAAAGACAAGAAGAAAAAGAAGAAGAAAAAAAAAAAGAACAATGACTAGAATGAATACAT